ATCATTTCTCTGTTGTGATCAGTGTTCAACTTGATTTCTTTAATTAGAAATGAAGTATGATACGAACATAATGACTTTAATTCATCCTCCTCATAGCACTCAGGACAAATGTATAGCTTGTTTTACCTCAGCAATCACAGAATTGAAGCTTTGAGACAAATTCTGACCTTTTTGTAGTATGGTTTTCTGCGTCAAACACCTTGAAATTAAGTTTATTTTTACAGCAGCAAGTTTAATGTCAAGTGCTTGAATGAAAATTGAATTAATTTGTTGCTTTCAATAATTGACCTCCTTTAATTTTCAAACTTTACATGTTTGTTTAATCTTAATGCCTTTTGATTTATTCATGAAATGTTGCTCTTCTGTGTTTTGTAATAATCTCTGACTATTCAAGCATTTTCAATGTGATATTCTCCATCCCAGGTTTTTAATTAGGTTTCTTATGTATGTATTTTTTAAATAAAAACTGTGGAGGTTTTTCCTTTTTATATTCATTAACTTAATATTAAAAACCGTACCTGGTTAGGAAAATCTCATCAATTTAAGGTTCCAGAATAGGTCACCAAGTGTTATTCCAATAAAAATGAAATTTGTATGCAATGCTTCATTTGCCAGAAGTGCTTGTTTATCTTCTCTGGCATTTATTATAGTGATCAAGCAACTGAAATAATCTGCATATTATGCAAACCAGTCCTTTCTCAAGAAAGTTTTCAGCCTTATTATATTAACAAAAAATTATTCCAAAGACTTGAAAGGTAGCATGAGAAAAGAATTGGATCTGGTCACAAAAAATTCTTGTTACTGTCATCACAGGCAACTAACCTATTTTGGGAAATTAAAGGCTCTGATATAATGGGTTACATCATCAAAATGTTTTATTGTGAGTGGGGTTTCTCTATTTGCCTCATGGCTAATTGAATTATTGCCCATTCTACCAGTGCAACACAGGGATGATTAATAGAATTGGAGCATTAGAAAATGGAGACCTGACAGTGACGTGAGTTCTTAACCAAAGACAATTTCAGCAGGAAAGGTTAGGTCAGCTGGGAAAAGAAAGCTAACAGTACCTGTATCTTTAAAGTCAAGAACGTGAGGATATTGAAGGAGGAAAAGGTATGTTATAAAAAATTGCTGAAAATCACTGTCTATAAACATGCAAAAGGATCTTTTTAGTTTTTATTTAGGGACATCTGTAGGAAAGGCTTTTCCTTCCAGATAAAAATTATTAGCTTTAGCTTTAAAAAACAAAACTCAAAACTTAGCACAAGGAAGCAAACTGCTCCCAAATTACATGTTTTGATGTAGATGTTTATGTGGTGGAAAGAATTTTGGCCAAGCTTTCTGGAATTAGTCTCCTTTTTTACAGTACTTGTTGCAGAATCCTTTCTACATGAGCATTGTGAGTCACAGTGGCAAGTCTTATATAATAGAAGGAAACTGCAAAGGAACAGGCATTTAATAAGTAAAAATATAATTTTTAACAAAATGCACAGTTCACATGGCTTTAATTACAACATGGGAAAGAACAAGATTCTAGAAGTTGAACTTCAATGAATACTTAAAATCTAATTGTTATTCTCTTAGTTTACCGACTGGATAACTTACAATAGATCTTACAATAATAGTTCAACTTCATAATCTTAAAGGTGGGCTCCAATCTAAACAGTTTTATGATTCTATGAAGAGGGACAAATCCCCTTCAGAGAGCAATTCAGAGAATTAAAATTGAGCTTTCGATGCAAGCTGCCCTCAGGATTGGGTTTGCAGCTTGGGAGATGTGTGGAAAGAAAGAATAGACATATTTCTTTCTGCCTGTTGTGATATTACAGCAGAGACTGAATGGAAATGATACCCTCCTAGTTCTCTGCACTCCTCAAGCTAACAGGAGGTATTTAACAAGAGACTGGATGTGGCACTTAGTTGACAGGGTGTTGGGTCATGGGTTGGACTTAATGATCTCAGAGGTCTTTTCCAACTTGGTTGATTCTGTGATTCTGTCTCTTTGTCCGAATAGACACTGCTTGCATGGATTTTACCAGAGTAACCCATCACTCAGAGGTGCATGGTTGGCATATAAATGGCTGTCTGTTCCACAAAACCATCTTTTTTAAAGACCTTTTACATGATTGAAAGCACAAATTGCACTTTGAAAATAACAAACTATAAAGTTATGATCTGTTCTGACATCCACCATTTCTTTGACTGTTCTAACCTCCTTGTGTCTTATCTGAAATGAGATCATAACTTCTCCAAGGAAAGAGAGTGCTTAAAATAGCACTTGTACAGCAATTAGCACTTTGGATTGATGAACTTTAATGGAGTTTTCTAATCTTGCTGTAACATAGCAAATAATCACTGAAGTATGGAAAACAGATCCAGAAGGCATTTGAAGACTATATAATCTGTTCCTTGCTCTGAAACAAGGTTAAAATATACCCCTCAAGAATTATATTGCCATATGTCCAACTTAAAGAGCTCCAGTGATGGAGGTCCCACAAACTCATAAGATGTATGTGCAGGGGCTTCAGCGTACATTCACATTATCTTTACTATATACATTTTACCACTCTACTACCTGCATTACTTGATGTAGTTTAACTTAGCATTGTTTTTACTTCCATCAGGGCCATGGAGAGTACATTATTTTCTTTTACAGCAGAACTCTTTTATGTATTTGGAGTCTAGCCATCTTCCCACTTGGTGGTCTTCATTTGACTGTGAACTAAGTGAAGATAAAAAACAAAAACCCCATGATGCTTAAATAATAATAATAATAATAAATAAAGAAAAAAAAAACTGTTTAGGAGAGTTAAAGAAGTTAAGGTTGAGCAATATAAAGTTACCAGATGAAATGCTGAGACTTTCCTTCTGACTCCACAGAACCACAAACTGTGGATAATTGTTTCACTTGCACAGTTACAGTAGAAGGTGCCTGACAGGGCTTTGTGGGCTACAGAGGATATCACAGGCATGGTCTCAAGGGCTTTAGAACTAATGTGAATGTTTCCACTTCATTACTTTCAATGGTCCACAGTCTTATCTGTCTGCATTAATGAATGACTACCCCTCTGGAAGACATGCTAGTGGTTATATTCTAATGATGACATAATTAGCAGAAATAGAGAGGATTGCCTGTAGCCATGACCCATAGGCTCCTTGGTTTGGTTGTGCGCATATCCAGAATTACTGATGCATGGAAAGATAAACTGTATGGTGTTACAGAAAGTGTAAGAGTGATAAAATTACTATCTGTATGTTTTTTTGGAATGCACTCTTGTCATGCAGTTTTGGAAGTCATACAAATTTTTGTGTGCTCATTTTTCCAAAACATTCTGCTTTTAAGATGATATCTGAAACATAAGTTGGAGAGCAGTGCATCAAGCTGAACCATAGCTCTAGCATTAGAAATATAAATTTTATAATTTTAATATTAGGAAAATAATGAATTACAGTATAATATAAAGAAGAGTGGTGAGGTTTTCTGGGAATCAAGTTGTGAATAGAAAGACCCCAAGCCTGAATTGTAAAAATGGAGGAGAAAGCAAAGTGTTGGTTTGAGTAGGACTTAACTAATATGCATTAGAATAATTATGTGATGAACAGAACAAATCAGATAACAGGAATAATACATAAAATATATTCTGCTCTGGCTGTTAAGAATTTGACCAGCAAGAAAGCAAACATAAGGCTCTTATACAGCTCACACCATGTCTTGTATCTTTTTGTTTGTGTGGCTGTGCCAACTTGCTTGCAGTCATTACTGTTTACAGAAAAATAAAACCCAAAGGTAATTTTCTATGTTACATAGCACTAATAGTTCTGTTGCGTCTCTAAACCCTGATATCATGAGTTAAAATGCATTCTACAGAATAATTAGCACCACTAGTTGTATGATTATGATTAAATGTGATTTAAATGTCTGTTTAAAAGTAAGCAACAGAAGGTTCCTACCAGAAGTAGCCTTCTAATAAAAGCAGTACAGAACAGAATGTTATACTAACTTGCCAGTTCTTTTCAGATCCATGTCCAAACTAGATGTCCTGATGTATCCTATATGTTACAAATAATATATTTGCTTTGGCTTTCAAGTTTTTATTTTTGCATTTATAGATCCAGTACCATTAGTTGAATAATGTCAGTAGAATAAATGTGATGATTCCACCTCTGTATTTATCTTTAGAAGTTATCAATGTCAAAAGTATCGCTTTGCTTTTTGCTGTGATCTCAGTGTTGATGTAGGACACAGAACTGTGCAAATTTTTATTGCAGTTTGTGAATTTCTGTGGAAGTTTTCCCTCTGCAGCTTCAAGTTTGCTGTCTGTAGCTGACTATTTGCTTTTTCAATTGGATACTGTAGTCACATCATGTTGTGGTTGATGCTGACTATCCCCCAACTCCCTGAGCAATTCCTGAGTAGAGCGCCTGAACAGATCCTCAGAGTGGTGTACATTCATACACATATTTATGAAGGTTTTTGTTGGACAATGATCATAAAAAGAAAATTGTTTTTAGACAGTTTAGAAAAAGCTAAATGATATTAAAACATCTTTATGAAAGAACAGCCGGATTTTTGTTATTATGTTGTGGCTATTTTGTATTTTCTATTACCATACCCCTTAGGAAATTGTACATTTTAATTTAAAAAACTTAAAATTCTTTCACCTTCCTTTTATCCTCCACTACCCAGTCCCAGTTCTTGGACTTAAGTAATTTTAGCTAGGTCCTGCAGCTTGTACTTCTAAATATTGTTACGCTTCATGGTCCCACTGAAATAATGGCGATTACTGGTGCAGTGGATTTTCATTCATCTGAACTGAAATTAGCAGAACTGATCTCCTAGTTCTTATAAGGAAAAAAAAATAACCTATGGAGGCACCAGATTTAGTCGTAGCCTTTAGAAGTTCCTATCACCCCGTTCTACTTGCAGATAGAATTTGGTATTTGCAAAATCCATTTGTGACACTTAACCAGAGACTGAGATGATGTTTAAAGCAGGGGAGGGGGCATGACCTTCACTCAGAGTAAGTGACTAAGGCGTTATGTAACTATTCTGGCATTAAGTGGTCCCCACTCAGGAGAGACTATGAATTGGATCTCTTGGAAGAGGGCCATAACTCACAACTTGTGGCATCAAACAACTGGTGGCGTCAGCAATATCACATCAGCTGGTTTCAGTCCCTGTAATCACTGCATGAGGTAGGTACCCATTTCTCCAGAGCAGGCACTGCTGGTAGATCTAGATTATTTGTTTGAAATGGCATAAAAGCTTTTGTAGCTTTGTCCCCAGTCACTTTTTATAAAAGCATTCTAATAGGTCTAGTACAGATTTGCAGGCACCATTCTGCCTACCACAAACATGTGTGTGTGTCCATTATTTCAAGAGGTTTTCATACTCTAAAAAACAAATTACTCCTATTTCCCCTATATTCTAATATAAACAATGATGCTGCAAGAGGGCAGCCTCTTAATTTTCTCAATTTCCTTCCTTTTGAAGTGTGAAATTAACAAAGGAGGTTTAGGCAGATAAGTGAAGATTAACAATAATTCTTTTACTATGTAACTTGATTCCCCAAATCTTTAACTAGCCTCAGTGCACTCTTCTCTCCTCTGTGAAAGTGTTATAAAATTTCAAGATTTTCTGTTTGACATTCAAAGACAGTTCATACATAGCTTTTTCAAACTATCAAGGTTCATTTTGACCCTTATTAGCATACACAGGACAATACCTGAAAGATTTAATTACTCTAGATCATTCTATTCTTGTCTCCCATTGCTGATAAATACAAATGTCATCATAATTTAGTAATATTTTCTTAAAGACTCTTTTTTGCCTTTGTACGTCAACTTAAAATATAATATGATTATGTGAAAATACTGTGGGTTTTTTTGAATTTTTTTCCCCTTAATATGTTGCCAGTCCTACATATTATGGAGAGAACAAAACAAACAAACAAATAAACAAAACAAAACAAAAAAATTAAACATAACCCCACCACAAAACCATTTAAATTGCAAATTATAAAGTTTCAAACTCTGGGAGACATGCAAGGGTTTCTAAAACATTTAAAGACCCTTTCATTTTGAAATAATTTCCTTTTAGCAAACACCTCAGAAAACTGTCTTCATAGCTTTCAAACCCTGTTGGAATAAGCAGGATTTAACAATGTAAACAGTTAATTTGACTTAAGAAAAACAGAATGGTTCTTGTAGAGATGATTTGTGGCAAATATTTATCAGGATCTATGTATTCTGAGTTGGAAGGGAACCATAAGGATCATCGAGTCCAACTTTTGAGTGAATGACTTGTATGAGATCAAGCCTATGACCCTGGGTGTTATTACCACAATGCTGTAACTAATGAAGCTAATCTCAGGGTGTGTAAAACATGTTAATATTACTCATCTTTGGGTATCAGAGATGGTAGTATCTACATAAAGGTTTAAACAAGACCACTTTTAAGAAAACCTGCCCAGCTTCAGTCTTAAGAAAAAATTCAAAAAATATATTTACAAATCATATATGACTATAGAAAACAACTGGAATAAATTGTTGACTACAGACATCAGGGAGAAGTTCTGAGAACATAACTATTTTATAGGGAATAAATATCAGTGCTTCAGTGATATTGTTGGAAGTAATTGTGTCCAGAGATCTATCATAGAAGAGAACCATGCCACAAAATGTTCTTCTGGTATATATGATGAATTTATACTTGTTGGCTATTCATACAGATGGTGAGAAACTTTTTTTTTCTTTTTTTTTTAAGGGGGAGCCTGGCACAGGGGCATGGTTTGATTTGTTTCATTAGTGTTTGTCAAAGATAAATTCATTTGGGTTTTTATTTAGTTTGGGATTTTTTTTTCTTAGGATGCAAAGTCAACATCAGGGAAATGACAGCTGACAGCTTTTCACTATATGCTTTACTTCTAATTTTTCCTGCTTTGGGCTGCTTGTCATCAGGCAAAATTTGATTTAAACTATTACATACAGTGGTATTTCCACAGGGCCACTGCTTCATTTCGTTCCCAGGACAGATGACAGGATTCACTCAATGATCAGTAATCAATAGCTTTTTCTGGTTTGTTCGAAAAGTGTGTCTTTTGCATTCAAAGCATGTTTTGCATACAGAATTTTTTGCTTCCTCAGGAGCTTTCCTATGGCACTGGCCAGTATCTTAACTGAGCTCTCATGCCATCCTGTTAGGGGAAGATATTATTCTATTTTCCTAAGGAAACAGCATTGCAGAAATATTAGAGAACAAAATCATATACTGGTTTTGAGGCAAAATTTGAGACATTCAGGACTAGATTCTTGAAAGTTCATAATATTATCCAGAGTTCTGTATGTTCAAAGAGGTGTTGTCGATGTGTTTGATGTAGACAAGGAAAAAAACTTCTTCAATAAAAAGGCCCATCAGCTCACCAGTAAATTAGGACAAGCCTAAACTTTACTATATTTGAAATGAGAAGCAGAGAAATGGAGATTATGTTCCAAGAGAAATTTGGCCTAAATACTACATCTTGCATCACAGAGGAACTGGAAGAGAGGGAAAAGTAGATTTTCTGGATTAGTATTACTTTTATTCTGAGTGTCTGCACTCATATTGGAGTCTCTTATTTACATTGTTCCTCCAGCAAAGGAGAAAAAAAAAAAATCATAAAACCAGTGATCTTGATTGTAAAACCTGATTCACTTAACAACTGCTTATAATGCTCTTCGTGTAAATGAAGCAGTGTTTTTGTATCTTCTTTTCTAGTTTAGGATTTTGTTTGCACATAATGAACATTTACAAACTGGTGATATTTGTCACCATAGATGTACAGTGAAGCTTTTGAATTTATTAAAATAAATTTTTCTTTGCCAGGGAGAGAGCACCCAGGAAATGTGTGAGAGGCATTTCTTGTTTTCCCACTCTTGAGAGAAAAATTGCTCCTTCTATAAATGTTTTTTCTTTAATTCCACTTGTCTTTTTCACTGCTATTTGACCATTTTGATCCTCCCCGTGCTGGGCACTCTGTTTCTGTTCAAAGTTAGACCCCTGGTGTTTCAAAGCTTGGATTCAGCATATCATGATTTTGCAGTTACTTGGTTGAAGTCCAGAGCTTTTTCTGGTGATCTTATGCAAAGGAAACCAGAGAAGTTCCTAATGAGGTCTGCTCACTCTCAGGCTGTTTTCATAGTCTCATGGATGACACAGTGACATCTTTCTACTGTTTAGTAGCAGCTAAACAGCAGTGTTGCTGGGCTCCAGCAAATTCCCTTGCTTGTTAACTGCCTTGTTTGCTTGGGTCTTGGGGTGACAATCAACTGAGGGAGGAAACAACTTTAGATAAAGAAATTCTGCCTGATTACAATGGAAGCACAGACAAAAAAGTTTAATCTTATTTCACTTCCAAATATACTACTAAACCAAATATTTTTTTAAAAAAATGTGGTAATGTTTCTCTGCATTTATTTTAATTCTTTTATATTTGCCAGGCAGCATCTTAAAACCTCACAGAAACCAACACAAGATTCAGGCATAAGGTGACTACCCCACCATGAATTTAAAATTCAACCTTTTTCCACTTTGTACCCATGTCTGACTGTGGTTTTTGGGTTACAAGGAGCTCTTGCTCCACTCTTCACTGTGAGGATGGGCAAGGGAAAAGAAAAGATTGAGTGAAAGCCCAAAATATCAGCGGTGAGAGACAATAGAGCAATTATGCTATAGCTTTCTTCTGTGCTGTAGGTACATGCTCTGGTGGACTCATTTTCAGGATTTTGTCTATCTTATATCCTCTAAATGACATATTTGGCAATATCAGCCTCATGCAATCACAAGTATTCTCTGAAAACATTAGTGGAGGAATTGGCAGGAAAATAATTCACTTGGAACTTGGGAAAAGCTGGACAATGAGGAAAGTCATGTAGATATGTTTTGTACATTTTAGGTTTTTTCCCACTGGTCTGTCACAAAAGGTTGCAATGGGGAGCAGGAAGGCTGTTTGCTGTACTGTGTGCTGTTAAACTGGGGAAAAAAGCCAAAATGAAATAAGCAGTGGGTACAATTCATTGCACTATTTCAGTCAGAAATTGCTGCCACATGGACTCAGACTTTCTAATGGCTTTTCACAATCAGCCATCTGTAAGCCTCCAATTGGTATGGTGCCTGCAGTATTTATTTTGTAATGCCATATAGCTCACAGCATCTGAGTATACCCACAGTACACACTGTGCAACCACAAACTAGATAAGTGTTGAGGAGGATTCAACAGACTCATATAAATTTGTTGTTGTTGTTGAAACATACAGAAGAAGCAAGGCCAGAATGGAATAAGGTTCATCCAAGTATAGGTGACATTTTGTGCATGCTTTTAAAATTGTCCTATCTTCTTGTTCTTAGAGATATAATAATAAAAAATCTTGATGATAGCTTTAGGAACAGATATTAAAATGGAGTAAAACAAAATACTCTTAAGAGAGAATTTGTGGGAAGATGTAATGGAATAATGTCATTAATGTTTTCCATTCTCATTTAAGTCTTTCTGTTAACCACTTTGGCTATATTGCAAATAGAATTACATGTGTATATGAGTAGTTGATTAGGACCTAAGGCTGAGTCCATGTGTCTATAGAGATATTTTTAGATAACTTAGTTTGTTGTTTTGCTGAGATAGAAAACCTCCTTCCCATCACGAGACATTGTGACAGCAAATTCATTAATATTTGTGAGGTGATGGCACTTGACAAATGTGGAATAATCATTGAAAAACTGCACAAATTTTCAAGCAGCTGCACTTAAATTTATGTCAAATTGACCATGTTATTTCAGCATGAAAAATGAAGACAGAATAAAAGTTAAAGCATTTTAAATGGACACTTCCAAATATAGCTCTGAATTTTCCCATATACTGATGTTTTAAATTGTCTCTCTTCCTGTCTTATTGTGTCTTCTAGCTTTTATCCAAGACAGTATATTCCCTTCAGTTTTTTGTTTTGATTTGAGATTGAGAAAGTATTTTGTTTTAAATTGACCTGA